GCTGTGTAACCAGGGCAACGTAGACAAAGTTGACCAATCAGATTACAGGGAAGTAACAATACACTCCACGAAAGTTGGTTGTGGGCCAGTCAGCAGCTTGTAAGAAAACAGTAAGTTACTCAAAGCACAAAATTATAATATTGATAGCAAACATTTTTCAAGAAAGCAAAATGTTTCACCAGGCAATGTTTTTCTCTTTGAATCTTTACATATTACACCCAGGAGACATATTTGTTTTGGGCACAAGCTGTCATTTTGTCATCTACCAGCAATTTCTTCGCAACCATTGCCGTTCTTTGCAATAACATCACAACCTCATGTCAAGGATTTAAATAACATTTATGTTTTTTGCCTGCATCATTCATTCTAACAGACCTGTCGGGAAACACAGGCTTTCTACTGCGGGTTCAAAAGGTCACTTCTGTAGGCAGTGATTGGTTGATTTCGATCTTTGTTGTTTATTTCAATTTTAATGACTGACAACTAACTTTCTCAGAATGTATTGTTATTTTCCTGTAATCCAATTGGTCAACTTTGTCGGGGTGGCCCCAGTTATTGTAGTCGCACTGTAAGACTCTTGTTCGACTAAGGGTGAATGTTTTACTCTTCATGGGTGGAAAAAAATTCATGGTTAGCCAGGCGTGAACAATCATTCATGTCTCGACAGGGTCTGGAAAACAACTGCAAATGTTGATGTTTTTTACAGCACCTCAACATTAGGATGTAAATTTACTGTAAACAGCAGATTGAGTATAAGTAATTGCTCTTAACAGGATCCAGGGCCTGTGCAAGGACTTAGAAGGCAAATGTATCTGAACGAGTATGAATTTTCGGGCTGTTTCTGATTGGCTAAGAGATTTTTGGCACCAAAGGTGGATCTGTAAATAGTGTGAAAGTGTTATACACTGTGACCAAGACCCTTAGAAGGAGGTGGAGATCCAATCTTGTGTTTACTCACAAAATTCTCTTTAACCCACCATTTTACCCAATAAACCCATCAAAGGATAAACAATTACTGTATCGTGGATGGGTTGTAGCTCACTCTGTAGCGAAGATACCGCATGGTGTTTTCGTCAACAAACTACTGACAACTTTTGATCACCTTAACATTTATTTTTTTTATTGTGTGTGCAGTATATGTTACTACAAATTAAAAATAGTGACTGAGGGCACCCTCTTTTCTCGTCCCGCTCAACACACACATGTGTGCACTCCATGCACTAAATTCGGAGCTGAAGAGAGAGTGCTTGCCGCCAAAAAGACCTTTCTACGTTGTAGCTTGTACGTTTTGTTTTCCCAATTCAGACCACGTGATGTTCTCCAGGGAATTTTCCTTTTGTCCTTTCATAATTTATGCATAGATTAGCTACCATCACGTAGTCTGAAAAGCGAAAACAAAAGATACAAGCTAACAAGGTCTATTATAATGTGACGCGTTTAAGAACCCATAACAACTGTTCACTAGTTTAAAGCCAGTATTAAAACTGATAAAATCACAAGTCTATTACAACACTTAAAGTACTCAACGTGGACCCATCTTCAGTCTTGGGGTGCGCTCAGTCTAATGAGCATGATATTGACAGAGTTTTCAGCCTGAGCTTTAAAGTTGGGATGCTTCCATTGCCGAAAACAAGGGACGTTTGAAACTTTTACTTAGCTTTAACAAGTGAAAAATTAATAGCTGTATGTGACAAGTAAGACGCCGTAGTATGGAATTTTGGGGATGGGGGCTGTGGGTCGGGTCTGAGTACAGTAGCGTTAACTGTTTCTCTGAACCATTTGAAACACTGCAAGCACACTTCTTAGTCTTACTATTTGAAATAATTAACGAAGAGTAATAATTTACACATTCAAAGAACGATTCTCTGAACGCGATTATTTACAGTTGGCAGAAATTTATCTCAGTTTTTTGAGTCCCCCATTAATACCAGTTTTTCTGACTCTACACATTTTTGTTTCATTATTGGGATACCTGTGGCAAAGCCCATTCTAGTTATCTGATTTCTGTAATTGCAGTCCCAAATTAGCCTTCTAACACAGCCGTCTCTGACCGCTTCACACCACTTTGGACGTTTCGCCGGCTGTACGTATTCGCAGATAGGCCAAAATTTCTAAGCTTATAACTCTTAAAAATATGGAAACGAGGCGGGTATGTTTCCCTGCCAGCAAGAGTCTAAGTTTCTGTCTTGACGAGCTAAAAGTAGAGGTAGAACTTTTAGCACGCGTGCCAAGAGTAACTAAAAAAGTAGGCTCTGCAAGCAGAGAACTACTTTTTTTTTCTCACTATAATTTTTACATTTTGTAACATATTCCTCTCTCACATAATTAGTAACCAAAGATTCTTCAACCAGCTTCGAAGAGGAAGTTACTTTTAATTAAAGCCGAGGGAAGCCCATGGACTCAAAATTCTAACCTTGATTATATCTGCATTCATCAACCCGGAAAACTACTATTATCAGTTAAATACAAGTGATATAAGAATCTAATTATAATTAGGTGAGATAATGGATAAAATCGAGCTACCATTGCGCAAATATTAGGAAATTATGATGTCTACGTTATTCTTTACGCCAGATGACGACGTTTTACCAATGATATCATAGTCCAGTTGTGATTTTGAGTGTGATTAAAACTCAGTCTTGGATGTTTTAAACAATTAAAAAATAAACAGCTTTCCGGTTCTAGTAATTACTGGGACTTTCATGAAACAACCTTTTGAGGGAATTTGTGTTTCACAATAGAGAAGAAACAATATTGCGGCTGAAAAAAGTTTAACTTGACTCTGCGATCAATTTTAAAAAAGGTTAGTAACTGGTCAGCGGAAAACCGTAAAAAAGTAAATGACCGAAATAAGTTGAAACTTGAGCCCGCGGCACGGTCATGTGCTAAAGGTCAGCAAATACCCTCTTCAAAGTTAAAACATCTGTCCATCGTAGTTTATTTAGCAACTGCATGGCGTTCTTGGACTCAGGGTATATTTCTGGTCACCGTGACAAGTGACACAGAAAAATGCATCGCTAATTTAATGTATTATTTTACCTAGTTTGACTTCGTGGTAAGTGCCATTACAATTATTTACTTCTTACTTGATGTTTTAAAAGAATATTTATATATCCTCACGTTAAGTTTCAAGAAAACTGTTCTTGCTCGCTAACGCGAGTAGTACGCCCGGGGGGGGGGTACTGCCATATATGGGCTATATAGGTATGTGCCGATGTGAAGGGTATGGTTTTCAAGCAGTTTACTCTGGGATAGGGTATATAAATCAGAGCGTTTGGCTCTAGAATAGGGTATCATTTTTCAGGAAACTGATCAGTCGGTTGAAGATTTTATCTAGACTAGGTACACAGCTACTCTAGGATAGGGGGATTTGGGGATTTTACTCTAGTATAGGGTAGCAAAATTCAGCTGAACTAGCTCTGGTAAAGGTTAAGGGTTCCAGGCTCCCAGCGGCACATCCCCACCCAGAAATTCCTAAAGTACCCCCGGGTAGTACGTTCTCCCTTTGGCTAAAGGGGCTGTGTCACGGCAGTCCAGTTCATTTTCAATTGTTTCATTTTGCCAATTACTCGCCCTCAATTGCTATGGAACTTAAAGTAAGCAAAGAAATTACATGTAAATAACAAAATCAAAGATCCGAGACAAACAAATATGTCTCCTGAGCATTATTTTTGAAGTTGCAAGCAGCAGGGACCAACTTTGAAAAACTGTTAGGATGAACAGTTTTCAAAAACCCTAATTTCAATCCGTTTCAATCTTCTTCAGTTTTGCCCATCCGTGGCATCTGTTGTTTCTGTTATGTTGTTTTAACCTTCCTTTAAAGTTTTAAGCGGTTATTTTTATGCTTCTTTTAATTTAACGGGCATTTTGTAATTTCCTAATTTGGCTGAATTTCGTGACACAACTCCTTTAAGTTATAGAACAGTTCAGATATTGAAGTTAAGTGCGGTTTTTCCTTTTTTTCGTTTTTATTCTTTCTTTAATACAATGAAGCCTACTTAACTGAAATGATAGAATATGTAATACTTTACTTGCACCTTGTTTTTAGTCAGTGCCACAATAACGGAGATAGCAATGGCCATTATTTCTTGTACCATGGAGATAGTACACATAATATGAACCACAATTTCTCACTTTGATGTTTGTTGACCAGCGACAGCAGCTACCGAAAAAATGAAAACACACCGTCCTGCTGACCTGACCGTCTGCTACTGTGGGGTGTCCACCATTCAACCATCCCTGTGCACTTGTGCCACATCTGCCTGTAGGTGGACATGAAGTTGCCATTCTTGTACCGGCGGACCCCTCAAAACGAAACCAACCAGGTCCGATTCCACTGTCACAATAACGACTGCTACCAGAGTACGTAATCTTTCTGTCAGCGCTGTTAAGACTTCCGTAATTCTGACATTCTGATATAGGAAAAATTATAATTATTATCATAAGAATCAATTTAATTAACTTTTAAAAATGTAGAAAATTATTTAATATTTTAATATTTTTTGTAGTTGAACTGGTTTCGTAAAGTTTTATCTGCTGTACATAAACAGGTTCAAAGTGGGTAATTTTCACGTCCTGTAAGATTCCCCAGCACCTGCCCCATTGTGGCGAACTCTGTTTACATATGAGTCAGTCATTGAGGATTGGTTAGTGACTTTCACACACTGGTAGACATACAGACAGAGGTTAAGAAATAACATGGGAAAGGGAGACAAATATATCTGTAGACATTCTTAAGCTGCCTCGATTTGCGCCTGCAAATGAGTGAGTTATTTCTGCTACATATACGATAAAGTAGGGTAATAATAGGTAAATAACTATTAACTATTAACTAACTATTAATAACAATTGTTTGGAAACAAGGATGAGTAAAAAAACATTTTACTTTTTAAAAAGAAACTACAGTCTGTAGAATTTGGTTAATACGGACAATTAGGGGAAATGCCTTGGTGTCCGTATCATCTGGATGGCCGTAATAAGTGGGCTCTCCGGAAAAACGTCCAGGACACATATTGTACTGATATAAAGACTATGGCAGACAAAGAGGAAGAAGGGTAGGAAAAATGACTGTGGCGAAAAGCTAATAAGGAAGTGAAATTTTTGTAGCAGAAGAAAATTATTTAATGGCTATATAGTGCAAGGGTCAAACGCGGGAAAGACTCACTTATCACGCTATTCTGCTTCTTAAACCCAAAGAAATCTGTCATTGTTTGAACAGTGTACAATATCTACAATTAGCACGTGATTGTTACAAGGAAAATAGACAGTGCGCAGATAAACAGTGTCCGTAAATAGCAGGGGTAAACAATGTATGCGAGTTTGTGCCTCTGGATACAAAAAAGTGTCCGTTAACGTTGTCCATATTAAACGGTGTCCGTATTAAGCGGGTAAATTTTAGAAACGCTAAGTTGTATACGGTGTTTCGTCTTGCAGAAATTAAAATTTTATGTCTCTTCTCTTATTATTGATAGAAATTAGCCAATCAGCACAAGAGAATTAACTCAGTTATTGTAAAAAAATAGAGCTTATGAAAACGTTGTAGCGTTGGTGATAAGAGACTTTTACTTTGTAACTATAAAAAAAATCTTACTGAGAGATCTTGTGCTATGAGGTTGCCTTGGACTGACTTTGGCACCAAGGTCGAGTTTCAAAATTCCTTGAGTTAGCTTGCCCGTGAACTCACAAGGAAGAAAAAACCATTCCTGTTTGATTTTTTCATCGCCTGCAATTTCATGCAATTTCACTTTCTTCTTCTGCACGGATCCGTGTACGTCAAGAGATGCGTCATAGAATAAATAACGGAAAGCAGCGAACTACACTTTGCTGGAGAGCCTCCCTTTATAAAAGCAAGCTCGCGCAAGTGTCAGATACCGGATTGAAGCTTGTTATCATAATGATCAGGCTGAAACGCGCAAAATTACAAACGTCTATAAAGTTTTTATTCTTTCTGAGCTTGCGTGCTAGCGGCATAATGCTCTCTCTTCAAATGATGCGGTTTTAATCTCGCAGTCTACTGCGAATTTCAGTGACGTCACAGTTTAGCCTCTCCAGAGTTTATTAAACTCAGTCGGAGGCGTAGATTCCATATTCTCCATATTTGACATACCCGATCTCCCTATCAGTCACAGTCTCTTTCCATATAAGGAGCATATTAAGCAACCACGACTGCGACGGCATGGAGCGAAAACGCCCCAAAACATTGTATTCACGCTGTTTCACATTAATTTTTATCACTCTTATTCCATTTCGTTCAAGTTAATTGTCAAATTCACCAAGTTGGTGAATGCTTTTTGGCGTTTAATTCTATTGTAATGTATCTCAATGTAGAAAAAGAAAAAAAATGGTTTTCTAGTCTGACAGCGTTCCGTGTTTAGTTATGTTTAAAACACCAACATCAGTGTTTTATCACTGGTTTAACATTTGAGCGTAATAAGCGTGAGATTTTTTAACCAGAAAACGCGTTTTTTGACAAGCCTTAAAAAATTCGAGTTTACTCTCATAATATTGGAAACAGAAACATAGTTAGACATGCCTTCCTTTCGATTCACTGCTGATCAGCGGCCATGAACAGTCCACCTCTGGAATGTCTTTCCCGAATCGTTAGGTAATATAGAGAATCTGAATCAGGTTAAGGCTGAAGTGAAGAAACGTTAATTATTTCCTTATTTCATTTTTTTTTTCCAATAAATTTCAGATATTGTAAAGTAGATAATTATGTTTTTAATTATCAAATTGCAACTGTAAAGTTGGCCGAAAAGCCATTTTCTAAGGTAAGCTGATAAACTATTACTATTACTTCATATTTCATTGCAATAGGATTGCCAAATAACGGTCTTCTCTTTTTAACTAAAAAAAAAATAATAATAGAATGGGAACACAAAAGCAGCCAAAATAACAAAGGTCGGTCAGATATAATTATGCAAATACTGTACATGTACAACCTCAAGTACACAGTTTAAAGAACTGTTCACGTGTAGGTGCGTAACCCCCCCTGTCCATATAATCTCTCATTTTAATTTGATCACGTTTACATGATAGGTGGGGGTGACCATATGAGAGATTGTATGGACAGGCGAGTTACCCTACCTAAGCGAGTCACCTCACTAACATGGGGACCCCCACCTCCATGTAAACAGGCCCTAAGCGTCTAGCTGCCTTCGCAAAACGAGTATCCAAGTTAAAGAAATTTCCACAGTTATTACTGCGTTTCAACAGAATGTGTGCCAGACTATGGCCTACTCGGCGAGTTTGAAGCAAAGATTCTTACTGTTTTATTACCTCTATTTTCGCGTTTATTTCGCTTGTTATCCTCCAGAATCCTCCAAAATAATTTGCTTGACTTGTATTTGGTCGAAATTCGTCGATAAAAGCTTTCATTCTTCGCAAAAGCCGCGACAAAATTCTTCCCGACGGAAGCGCCATTTTCACTAGATTTGAAAAAATCGTTGCCTGAAGCTCAAAACTCCCCAGGGCCTGGAAGTTGGCACATATGGCTAAATCTATTGACTTCCTGTGGGCCAAATTTGGAGGCAATCGGAAGTAACACAATTTTTTGCGAGTGTTCGTCGCGTCATAGCGCTTACCCATTTTTACTACTTCGGTTAGATAATTGTATGCTCTTTTCTACATTTTCAGTTACTTATAAATTGTACTAGTGGCGGAGTTTAGGTAAATATATATCTTGATTTTAGAAAATTCGGGTTGTGACGGAATAATATTCGCTGTAGGAAAGTGAAAGTTAATAGCGGAGCTCTCGCGCGCGAAGCGCGCAGCGGAGCACCATAGGTAAGAAAATGTGGTAAACTACCCATCCAAGAAAATTTGGTAATCACGTGACCGTACACCGAGCGAGCGAGCGACCGTCCGTCCGCACCACAGGCATACCAATGTAAAATAACTCAATCAACAGGTATGGCAACCCAAACGCGACTCAAGGTTTTATTTAGAAGAACAAACAACAACATAGCCGTGTCTTTTTCGGCGTTATTTTTTATGTTTACATAACGTGGACAACAGAGAAAGAGCTAGAGCGAGTTATTGAAAGCAAAGGAGACGAATTTCTTAGGAAGAAAAACATGGAAATTCAAAGCGGCGGTGAGAAAATGAGAAATGCTAGCGACCAGCAAGGTGAAAATGAGCGGCAATGAAAAATAAAAGCGAACATGAACACAGGAGACAAAATATTGGGTAAGCACATACGACAATTCCTCCATGAAAATAATGTGTAACTAGGAAGTTTGACGTTTTAACCGTACAAAACAGCGTTGTAGTCGTGCAAAACAACAACAAGGGAAAGACAAAAAAGCGTGCTGCACGTGCAATTTGTTTTTTTTTTTGCTAATTACATCTATTAGTCTTGAAGCCTTATTCATTGTCGTCCGCGTTTAGCATTACACGATTTATTTTTTTTGTTCACACGTATCATTAATCAGAGCTTCGCTTTTAGCCCTGGCTAAATCTATATATTAGCTAACCGAAATTTAGTAGTTAACTGAGAATTGGCCCAAAAAATAGTAGTTAACTGATATTTGGCTGAAAAATTAGTAGTTAACTGAGAATTGGGTACCCCCATTAGCACCCTCTTAAAAAAATTCGAGTTTATGTAACACATATTAAGGGACTTGCCCAGCCCCTTATCTGTAACAGGTTTAAGAAAATGGTTGATGTGCACTCTCGTAATATTGGAAGCAGAAACAAGTTAGACATGCCTTCCTTTAGATTCACTGCCGGTCAGCTGCCATGAGCAGCCCGCCTCTGGAATGACTTTGCAGAATCTTCAGGTAATAAAGAGAATCTCGACCAGCTTAAGGCTGAAGTGAAGAAGCGTCATTTCCTTATTTCATTTTTTTTTCTCCCAATACAATGTAAATTTCACATATTGTTAAGTAGAAAAATTGCAATTTTGAAGTTGACTGAAAAGCCATTTTATGGGGTAGGCTGATGAATTATTACTGTTACTAAATATTTCACTTCAATATGGTTGCTAAATGATTTTTATGACGTTCTCATTCCTGTGGTGGCTCTCTATTGTAAAAGCTCCTAATAAAAAAGTGACTTGCGCACGCTACGAATACATTACTGATTGAAGTCGTATTTATCTTCGTTTGGCGTTCTTGGTAAAATGTCATAAAACAAATTTGTACCGAATTAATAAATAAGGGGAAAGGGAAAGAAGAGCGAAATAAATTACACTGTAAGCGAAATGAAAGCGGATGCAGCAAACTGAATTTCTTTCCAAGGTTACCGTGAATGGATAAAAATAAAATCCAAACACAAGATACTGAAAAGAAAAAGATACTAACAAAAATAAAGAGATACTAACTAGCAAATGAAGATTTAGGGGAACATTCTCTGAGGATCTGTTTCCGAACTTTTCGTTAGAAAACAGTTGGGTCTCGACAGTTAAAGTTCACCGCATTCGCAGTTAATCGGCAAAATTACAGAAATCAATTCTCCGGATAGAAAGTTATAGTCACAGTGCATATATCGTGAATAATGTAATGGTTCACTCGACGTGATCAATGTGGATGATTTTTCGACTCCCCGCCTTAATTAACATGGCGGAAACAAGTTCAAAGTTTTCCTCTTCTATTGAGAACCTTATAGAGTCAAAAATATTTCATATATTTAACTATAATTGAATGAGGCTGAGTGTGATGTGAAGAATTATGCAGATCGAGGAGGAGCATGCCAGCGATTGGGTACTGCCTACATCGACCTCCAAATATGGTAATCGTGTGTCGGTTTTGAGGATTTAGCGGCGGGACAAACAATCAGAAACGGTGATATATTGTTAAATAATATTGAGAAGAAACAAGATTTCAAGCTTCCCTTGTGACCCCTTCCAATCTCAATCTCACGCTTTTATTTAAACCATTTTGGTGAGAAGGGTCTAACGACAAAGTGATTTATGCTGGTTGGACCTTTCAAGTATGTAGCACCCCGGTACCGTGATTCTCCTTTTGCAATGGATTTACAACGCGCCATTTTCATATATTTCTTATAATAAAGCTTCTTTTAATTATCTCTTGAAAAAAAATGGACCAAGAACCCTTTGATCGATGATACTCAAAGATTTTTTAAAAATTGGCCCCTGATCATGAGTCCATCCCATCATTTAATGGCAGCTAATGTGGTCTTTGTCGTAAAGTTTCAGTTCCTCTTATATTTTCTTGCTCACGTCGGGACTAAAAATCATGCTCTTGCACTTTTCTATGGAGTACTTAACTCTCTATGTTATCTTGGGTGTTTCTTTCTGTTGCGGAAACCGATACTTTTGTTTTGTGTTGTGGGTATTGATCAGTTTTCTTCACTGCAACACCAAGAAACTACACCATGATTATAGAGTATTATTGCAGTGATGTGCTTAAGAAATAATTCGTTAATCCCCAAACGGCTATCTTGAAATACTGCTCAACGCAAGAGGTACCCAGAAATGTGAGAAACTCAAACATTGATTTAAAGGCTCTGAGTTAGTCTCGCAGGTACGAAACGAGTATAAGCACAATCTAAACGGACGTAGGGTTCAACGCGGGTTGAAACCCCGGCCGGACCAACACTCAGGGTCTTTATATAACTGAGATGAAAGTGCTGCCTTTGCAATGACATCCTCAAATGTTTAGACTTTCTAGTCTTCTCGGTTAAGGACGAAAAACCGTACATTCTGTCTCACAGCACTTTCAATTATTTCTTCTTGTGGGAACATCACTATTGGAAGAGAGTAGGGATTGTATACCCCCGGTGGTGTGGCCAACCTTTACGGGGTGTGGGATTGGGTAGGGATGGCATGCACCCCACATGGGACCTGAGTCCCGTTCGTTCACATTCCCTCTGGGCAGGCCTGTGTCCAGAATAACTGGTAAATAGACGTATGGACGATCATTTTTGTTCCAGAGCTTCGATCCTTTTGGTCAGTGTGGATCGCCGACGCTGACCCGCAAACGGATCGAAGCTCTGGGAAGGAGAATGATGGACGATCCGATCCCTACATATTAGAAGCCACTAGTAAGTAAAGTGTTGCAGTTCAAGTATTCACTTAATATATAAGAAATCTTAAAATCAAACTTTTCCTTTCTCTTGTTCTTCAATGGGCCTTGGCTTGTGCAAAGCCGGTCATCATCGATACACGTATTCGTGCGTCGTAATGAGGCGAGCAAAAGGGGAGACGACCAGAAAAAGATTTTGTGAAGAATGAATTGCAGACACCATAGCGCGTGCTAATAACAATACTCATGTCATTTCCGCAATACATATACTTTTTAGGCAGTTTGAGTGGCTAATAAAAAAGAGAATTGAATTTGATTAATTGACCAGATCTCACTTTCGGCTACGTCGACAAGAGATCTGGGTAATATTTGCATTTAACTGAAACCCTCGTTAAACAATCAAGGTTAAAGTAACATGCTTCTAACGAGAGTAAATAAGGGTCTAGTGAATGAACACATTCCTAATTCTTGGTGATAATAATTACCGTATGGAATATTAATGCAAGTTTTGCCATCTCCGAATAGAGGTCTAGTAAATGGACATCTTCCTAATATTCGGCGAGTTGATTACCTGATGCTAGATGGCAAGTTATGCCATTTCCAGTGTAAGGATTGTTACATGAACAACTAAAGGATCCCACTGTGTTTGTACATGAAGCAAGTGAACTGTGGCAGTTGTGAGTACCGCGGCTGCACTCGTCAATGTCTACAAAAAGGGAACGGTACAAGTAAGCTTAATCATAACTTAATCATAACCTTTGTAACCGTTTTCTTTGTAAAGGGGAAACAAGTTTAACGGAATTAATTATTTTAAGCTTGATAAAAGGAAAAATGATCGCAGGTTTGAATAATCTATATTGTTGCACTTATTGGACAAAAAAAAAATATCGCACTTACGCACATCTTACGACTTTGCGCATCTTGCCGACCTGGCCCCAGTTGTTCAAAAGATGGATAACCCTATCCAGTCGATAAATCTCTATCCAGTGGATAGCGCAATTGATTACCCAATACTCACCTACTGAATAGTGATTTATCTGTTGGATAGCGCTAACCAGGGTTTGTACAACCGGCGCCAGTACTTTATTGCTTACATAATCTGACTGCTTGACATCGCTTGTCTGTTCGCATACTCCAAGCGGTCATTTTTACTGTATTTTTTTTCCCATCTAGCCAAAACTTTATTGGAAGGGCAAGAAGAGTAAAAAAATTAAAGATGTTGTATTGCCGTTGTTGCCGGTTTATTCAAAAACAAACATATCAAACAAACATTTTCAATTAGACTTAAACGGCTCACCAGTGCAGGTGTTTCCATCTCCTGTGAATCCTGCTTTACATGCGCATACGTAAGATCCCACAGTATTACTACACACCGTATTGACGTCACAGCTGTGAGAGCTGGTAGAGCATTCGTCGATATCTACATACAAACATTAAAAGCTGGTAGTTTGCATACATACATAATCTTTATTATGCTTACACTCGAATTTTGGAGTAGCTTGTAAATAGGTAATATATCTGAGAAACCAATACATGATTAAATACGTTACAAGAAAAAAAATTATGTCTTCACATAAAAGAAACTATATTTACAACTTTATCGAATAGATATATTTTTAGAAATTCATCTGGTCTATTTTAGCTTTTAGTTTGATGTATTTTTTATGAACACCCCTCGTTGCCTGTTTAACTGGGTTACACACAATAGTGTCATCAGATTTTGTGAGTTTTTGCGCGGGGTAATTGCTTCATATACTGCTAAAGACAAATTTAGCATAAACACTTTGTTTTTAAATTACACTATTCAACTTACCAGAGCATGTTCTTCCATTACCCGAGTATCCTGGTTTGCAAGCGCATGTGTAAGAACCCAGAGTATTGCCGCACACCGCATTTACGTCACAGCTATGAGAGTTGGTAGAACATTCGTTGATGTCTAAAACAAAAAAAAGATGAATGAAGTTACTCTACTACAAGTAAAAACGCACTGGTCTACGTTGAAAGAGTTTGATTGTATAATTCAAACGCAAAACTGTGAAATAAATACGTTAGAAGAAAAAAAATTATGTCTTCACATAAAATAAACTATATTTACAACTTTATCGAATAGATATATTTTTAGAAATTCATCTGGTCTATTTTAGCTTTTAGTTTGATGTATTTTTTATGAACACCCCTCGTTGCCTGTTTAACTGGGTTACACACAATAGTGTCATCAGATTTTGTGAGTTTTTGCGTGGGGTAATTGCTTCATATACTGTAAAGACAAATTTAGCATAAACACTTTGTTTTTAAATTACACTATTCAACTTACCAGAGCATGTTCTTCCATTACCCGAGTATCCTGGTTTGCAAGCGCATGTGTAAGAACCTAGAGTATTGCCGCACACCGCATTTACGTCACAGCTATGAGAGTTGGTAGAACATTCGTCGATGTCTAAAACAAAAAAAAGATGAATGAAGTTACTCTACTACAAGTAAAAACGCACTGGTCTACGTTAAAAGAGTTTGATTGTATAATTCAAACGCAAAACTGTGAAATAATACATTACAAGAAAAAAAATTATGTCTTCACATAAAAGAAACTATATTTACAACTTTATCGAATAGACATATTTTTAGAAATTCATCTGGTGTATTTTAGTTTTTAGTTTGATGTATTTTTTTATGAACACCCATCGTTGCCTGTTTAACTGGGTTACACACAATAGTGTCATCAAATTTTGTGAGTTTTCGCGTGGGGTAATTGCGTCATATACTGTAAAGACAAATTTAGCATAAACACTTTGTTTTTAAATTACACTATTCAACTTACCAGAGCATGTTCTTCCATTACCCGAGTATCCTGGTTTGCAAGCGCATGTGTAAGAACCTAGAGTATTGCCGCACACCGCATTTACGTCACAGCTATGAGAGTTGGTAGAACATTCGTCGATGTCTAAAACAAAAAAAAGATGAATGAAGTTACTCTACTACAAAACGCACTGGCCTACGTTGAAAGAGTTTGATTGTAGAATTCAAACACAAAAATGTGTGGCAGGTCACGTACTTGTATCACTGTATCACTAAGTTGATACTCATGATATAGCGGGTCGCTATAGCCTTCTATGTGCTATTCAAACCGGGGGGGGGACTTTTGAAGATGAATAACTTCAAAACCGTTCAAGCTATGACCACTAAACTAAGTGACTCCTCCTAAAAATTATTTTAGAAAGTCGTCGTGACGAATACGTCTACATTGACGTAACCATGGCAACCAGGTTTTGGTGGCCATGTTCTTCTTTTAAAAAAGTAGGTTTTAATTATATTTTTACTACTGGATATATTACATTTAATTAAGCATTATTCTTCCAAAGCTATTGTCACTGTTGATGAAATCCCGGTTCTTTAGTGACTAGTTTGAGAAAAAAACTTGAATTTTTAGTAATATGACTAAATGGCAGATTCTGAGTTCAATCATAGTTAATGGAGTGAAGTGGTTATGAAACCGGTCTGAGTCCTTTGATGTATATTTTTGTGGGTCTGAAGCTGCCCAACGTTGCATTCCCAGCGTTTTGACCAATAAAAACGTAGCATTAATTTATTTATTCCGTCACAATTTGCTAACAGAAAACAAAGGATTGTGCTCCTTCAGGAAGCTTCCAACATAAACTGCGGCACCCTTGTTTTTATAATAAAAAAATTGATGTTTGCAGCTTTTAATAACCAGTCTCCTGTAATAACTATGGTGTAATTTTCAGCAGTGTTCACTTCTCTCGAAATTGAATATTTTGCAGACTTTTTTTGCTTTTAGTCCTAAGCATCCTTTTATAATCAGATAAAGTTTTGTGTTAAATATTCCTTGATTGTCACTTGTCTCAAGTAATTTTGGAATACATTTAAACAATTCAGAATGGCGAATCCAAGATGGCTGTTGGTTCCAGTTCCTTTTCGGTCACGAATAAACAACATCACCATGACATCACTGCTATTTGAAGGTTAATTACATGTTAGCCAGCTTCTTGATTTTACTTACTATTTAAGTATTTTTGCTTAATGTGTACTTTTAGGGAAATTTGGATTCTGCCAATAATTCTGTCAATTCCAATGACATCAGATTAACTGTGTCAATCAGGTCATGCCCAGAAGTTGGACATGCTGACTACATTATTGTATGAAAGTTTAGTGGCCGAAGTGTGAGTTGTTTTAAAGATATGGATAGGGGGTTTCTGGAGTCCCACCCCCTTCCCAGTGAGGGAAGCCAAAAAAAAAAAGGCTGAATACAGGCCCGTAGGGAGGGGGCGACGGGTGCACTCACTTCCCCCACAGGCTTCAGAGGTCCACTTTTTTTGTAGATCAACTATTTAAAACAAAGTGAATTAATAGCATTTTTCATTTAAATGCACTGAATGTGCAGTAAAATTGAAAATAATGTGAGAGAGTTGACAAAGCCCACTCACGCTTTCCACAAATATGTTTTAACCGTCATGTAAAAGTATAAGAAAGGGAATTTGGTAATTGCCTACAAGGCCTTTTTTCCCTTGCTACGATGCTTACTCCTTCATTTTGTCCTTAACGGGCAAGTCTGTTTTGGAGGACTTTTAGTGCAAATTAAGCAAATGTTTTCTTCTCCCCCCTTTTCTTTCCATTTGGCTGCTTCACAGCCAATCAGGAGTGGATCCTGGATCCTCTGGTGTTTGAAAGACCCCGAAGGTATGCATTTTTCCTTTTTTTATGTAGCCTTTTTTTTGAGGATAGTTTAAAAAATCTGCTGTTTTTGATTTACTAACCAAAAAGTAGTGTTGACGTGGCACAAGAGTCAAGGCTCTCGTTACTGGCTCCACAAAAAGAAAATTGACCGTCTTTTTAACTTTCTCTTTCCATTTTTTGTCTTTTTAAGGTGTATTTTTAATCTTGAAATGCAGCTTGTCTTAAAACCACCACATGGTGATCGCGCAGCAGCAATTTTGTGTGAAATGGATATCCTTCACTAGGGTTTCCAAATATGGTAAAATTGAATATTTACGAGCATTGAATGCGAGTTACACGTTTCAACCCCTTATCAGAGTTTCTGGTTACAATACAATACAGTGTCGTCAGATTTTATGAGTTCTTAAGTGGAGTGATTACTTTATATACAAATGTATTCCTTAAGACAAATTTAGCATAAACAGTTTTTATAAGCACTAGTGCATATTAACACTATTCAAATTACCAAAACATGTCCTTCCAGTACCCGAGTGTCTTGGTTTGGAAAATATTCACATCCAAACATTTTTTTTATATGCAGTTTCTGCTGCAAACAATTTTTTTGTGTCTCTGTCTCCCTGCAAACACATTTTTTTACCTGCATACAATTTATTTCAGTGTTTACAGCCTCTGCAAACAATTTATTTCAAAATTTTCCGCATTTGAGCAAAATTATAAATGTTCATTTTCGTCAATGGCCCTATTTGTGCATCTGTTAATTAGCCGTAGACACTTTCCCTTTTTTTTCTTATATTTGGGTTGTTGTGTACTATTTCAGTTAACGTTTCGTAATCCTGTATTATATACATAGGATATACCTTCGCTCTTCGGCCGTCTAAAAATTACCTTTCCATTTCTTTTAGAATCAGCAGGTTATTACTGTGGACACCGATCTTAAACAGTATATTGTTATTCGTTCCATAACCTCTTGTTTTCCCTGCCTTCTTAAAAATAATGACCTTAAGCTACGCGTTCGGTGTCTATTTTTAAGACCTTTGGAGCTGCAGAATTTTCCTAAACTTTTAAGATATCTTAAATAGACTTTTTGTTGCAAATGGTCATAAATCGTAGACTAATCACGAAATATTGGAGACGAAAGTAAGCTTGAAGAATTATTTACAAACTCTTCATACTTAAGGTAATTCAAGGCATGCAAATGCAAATTATGTGATTGAAATTAAGGACTTAACTTGAAGAATTGCCCAAGACAGTATTGGATTCTGGATTCCAGGCTGTGGATTCTGGATTCCAGGTACTTGATCCCAGTCTTTGTCAGTGGAATCTGAATTCCAATCCTTAGTGGGATTCCGGATTCCTTGAGCTGTATTCCGGATTCTAAAGCCCGGGACTCCGGATTCCACAAGCAAAAATTTTGCTGATTCCGGAATGGGGAATCCCTTACACGGGGCGATGAAGAATGTTCTTTTGGTGTCGCAAAAGAATCTAAACCCTGGTCAAATTTGCATCACAAATTGATCTGGGACATAACCTTTCCTACCTTGGCAAGTTTTCCCGTCTCCAGAAAATCCATTCTTGCAAGTACAGATGTAAGATCCATCATTGTTGGTGCAAGTTGCATTGACGTGACAGAGAGGGACAGAAGAAGTACATTCGTCGATATCTGAATGATAAAATTAATAAGGGCTGGATGTCGAGTACCCTGCGAGCAAGCTCTCCCATTGCTGGCAGGCTAACGTTATGTGTTAGCATGTTAACTGGACAAGATGCAAGCCTTGTACCCAGGCCAGTTTGCGCTATCCGAGTGACCAGAGGAGGCTTGGAACCTAGCGCGATAGCGCGAGGACGTCCTCGTCGAATAAGGACAATTGCACGATGACGTCATTTTACTACAACTACTAGAATCCTTGAGTTTGTTGTTTTCTTGTGCAAATTAAGGCTATTGTTCTTTAATCCTCAGCGGGATTGACAATAACAAAGCAAAACCGAAATGAATTCTGGTAGTTGTAGTCAAATATCGTCATCGTGCAATTGTCCTATTTTCCCGACAAGCTTGACAGTTGACGTCACATCCGAAACCGCAGAGGACGGCTGGGAACGAGGCTGGATTTATACCATTTATCGTTGCTTCAATTGTTTTTCTACATTTGCCGATAAATAACAAAAGAAATATTAAAAAATACCCATTAAATGTTAACTAACAACTACAGATTGGACTCGCGTTTGCAAAGGAACGTTCATATTCTTAACGGAAGTATACCCGTATCAGTGCAACTTCTAACAATCTCAACCTGGGATTAACCATTGATTCGACACAAAGACCTTGCCCGGCCGTATGAACGCCTTTGTCTTAAGACCACGCCCTTGGCAGGATGAGCATAGAATGTGCTCTACTGTATTCATGAAAGGTAGATGTTGTATCTGCGACTGATCGAAGAATTTCAGCTCCTCCCCCAGTACAACAGAAACAAAAACAATTAGTATCAGTATTCAAAAAATCAGTGAACAGCAATTTTCGCACCTTCTGATTGGCCCCCCTAACTCGGAATATCCTTGGATATTCACTGTTTTGGGACGGGTTTCAAAATGGCTTCTCGTTTCGTGACAGTTTCAAAAGATAACATTTTAGCGTTAAATTAAGCAGATGCACCAGCAAAATTTGGCTTGTCGTACGTCGGTGTTTACAGGTCGATAGAAAAAAATTTTCTTACTGAATTTGCAACAAAATCTTAAAAAATGATCCCCGAAACACTGTCAATTGAAACATGAACAAACTCTAACAAGTGACGTGTTTTATCTACAAAAAGTTCCTTTTTGGTTTTTATTCAACTGATTTGGTAAATACTAAAACAACTATCCCCCTCAAGGTCCGTTCATAGCGCTAGATAAATACTTCGCGTCTCGGTATATATCCCACTATTCACCTCCCCTTCGGAAGATAGTTGTATACCATTTTGGTAGTTTTGGCCGAAAGCACCGGAAATAATAGCAAAACGTTATCCTGCAACATTAAACAGTACGTCCAAGCATTTGGTATTTATCGCATAATAAAGGATGCACTGAGCTGAACAACGGTTTAGACTTGCACTTCAACTTATTCAGCCCCAGTCCCCACTAGTCCTTTGCTGTAGAAAAATTTTATTTCCACCGAATTCTCATTCACTCCCTACGCCAATAACATCAAAAGATAAATATAACTCTAAAATCCGTTCACAATTTAATCGTTCACTTCACAGGAAATTTGATAGTCTATCGCAAAATCGAAAATACGTCGAAGAGCATTATTCTTTTCAGGGTTATTTTATAGGCTGATTCTCTTCATCTCAAAAATATTCTCGGTCTTCCCTTTTTCGAGTTTCTTTCTCACATAGCTTACCATTAAAAACTAAAACTCACCTTCAGTTTTCATATCACAGTAAGCAAGAACAGACGTGCCAGTTTTAATGGAAGAAAACCAATACTTTCGACTGATTGCATGACCTTCACTCTTCTTTATTTCTAAACAGGTTTCAGCCGGCAGTTCAGGAGTAGAACCCAGAGGTACTGAAAGAAGACGTATAATTTCGTTTTTATAATTTGATAGACAGTCAGTTGGCTAAATCACACTTCAGGAAGAGTAGCTTCATCACAGCCTTGACATAATCCTCCAAACTGATTGGTTATCTGTCGCCCTGATATTGGCGCCCAAGTAATTGGACGGAACATTATATGCACCATTCGGTACACTTTTATTGGGACAGTTGCTTTTGAAAGGGTTACTTTTTAGAAAAAAGTTGAAATTATTACAAATTTTGTTTTTATTATACGTTGTGATAAATTCGTGACACTACTTCGTTTCGCGCAATTCTGTCTCTCTTTATTAACTCCCAATACGTGGTCGTCCAAATTTGACTCAACTGATTAGAGACCATTGCTTCGACCTTAATCAGCATTGATCAGTTATCACAATTATTTATAATGAATTGGAAACTGTTTTTCACCTCTGTTCCTATCACGTTTGTAGTAAAATCTGTCTGGATCTGAAATGAAATCCTCAGGTCTGGCTTCCTTAGTTCTGTTACTAAACTCGCACTTGAGGAGAGAGATCACCCAGTTAAAGCTTTGACATCGATCGTCTTCGCGACAAACTTGTACGCATGTATGCGGGAGGTCTGCTAACATCGTGCTGTAGATATGTCCCCGTAACATCCAGCCGAAGATGGATATCTCGGATCCGCATCGCTGAGTCACTGTTTTGTAGAGTAGTTGACCCAAGACAAAAAGAACTGATATACGAAAGAGCAGTCTCATTGTCACACCCTTGAAAAGACATGAAGGGAGAAAATTTTTTATTAGACTGAATTTAAATCTTAAGGTACGTTTCTTTACTTAAATTCAATATCAGATAAAAAATCCGGATCATTAGGACTTTTCATTGAGAAAAGAAACGATGTATCCAAAAAGGGATTACTTTTCATTCATTTCCATAGAAACGACCCACAATATCGACGGTGTCACGGAGAAAGAATAACACAGCTGCTAACAAGTTGCTGATGTTTCATAGACTACTAGTAGTCCCCCATTTTTCCTCAGGGATAGTAGAGCGTGCGAAACGCGAGCGCGCGTGAAAATCACCCCACGCGAGAAAAGGCGACACGCTGCTTGTCTTACATGTATACAAGACATCTATAAAAAAGTCATAGCCTACTTTTCTTCAAACCACAAGAAAACCGAAAATAATTTTAACCGTTTGTATCACTAGTACGGTTTTGACGATTTCTTTTCTGCTTTTATCGAGATGGAAGCTCAGCGAGTGTCGAATTTTATAAGTTAACAACGCTTGAAAAAATGATTTTAATATCGGTAGAAGTACCCAGCTCGAACAAGCGTTTAGTTTTCTCTTGAATTTTATTTACGGACAACCTACAAGAAGTCGTATTTGAGAAAGGTAAAAAACCAGGGAAAAGCTCACAGCAGAGAAAGGAAATTTGCTTGCGGACACCGGGCTTGCCGACCACCGTGAAACGCCGTTTCTAACTTTTTCAAATCAATTTTCATAGTGAAGCAAGTTGTTTTGTTATTTTCAGGTATAAATGTACAATGACCCAAGACTTGTCAACAACACTTGTCTTCCATAAGGCTTAATAAAACCTAGAAATACATTATCTTTGAAATACTGACCTTTTTTTAGGATGAAACAAATTTTAAGTTTTTGTGTAGTGTTAATGATGTGGATGGAGAATATTGTAAAGCACCTCTGAAATAAACATAAACACTGTTCCCAAAGAAAAATAAAAGCTGCTTATAGAGACATATATAAAAACGGTAACATCAGGGGTTATGGGTTTTTTGCTTAGTCTGAGATAATTGGATGAGGGATTGAAATTTTATGACTTTCGGGTCACATTATCATGTTGTTGAAAACAAAATTCATACCCACAACAAGTGCAGGTATATGTTTTATTAATTTGATTTAGAATATATCTTGGTAAGGTTTATCATCTACAGGTACATTGTTGCTTTGGGTCTCTAAAAAGCCGAATACAATAATAGTGGTAATCAAGTCCATCTTTGGTTTGAAAACAATGTGATTCAGATACAGACCGTTTCAGGGAAGAACACTAACCAACTTAAACACATGACTCTGTAGCTAAAACAAGCATTGACCCCCAAACACAGTTAATTTGTCCCACTTACAAAGATCATAAATAACTTAGATGCCACCTTCTGGCTCTCATGCATGCATGACAAAAGCAACTTTGTTGCTGTTTAATGAATACTTGACCACAATTTTACTGTCTTTATTGACTATGTGTGTTAAGCAAATCCTCACAATAAAGAAAAACAAAAGGAAATCTAAAACACTGTTTAAAAAGTGACACCAACACTTAAGAGCCTTAACGGAGGACAAAAAATGTCAGTAGGTGTTTTCCCATTGATGCTACAATTATTTATAGTTTATATAAGGGAAAAGTACAAAATTTATTCGAGTCTCTTCAGTGCCTTCGAATGCAAGCTGCGAGGAGCGACGTGAGGCGATTGTATTCACTGGATATGTAATTTAGTAGTTTTATTTCAACATTAAAAGATGAGCCAAATTAACATAATGCTTTTCGAAAAATCAGCAGGGTTAATCTAGGATATTACTTGAGCGAAACAGTTCTCAACACAAACTAGTCTGCCGATTGGAACTTTACACACCGTGTGCGTACACTTGCTCGGCGCCAGCTCCGAATGTAGTTAGTTTCAGCCATTTTCAATCGAAATTTATGGCTGAAAAACAACAGCATGCAGTCTCACGAGGAGCCGCAAGCAGTAAAATTTCTGTCCCGTAATTTAATCAGTTAAATCATCAAAGTTGACAGGTCTTTCTGATGATCAAAGCGACCATTCGGTTTACCATTTACACCTTCAGTGCGAAGACTGTCACGGGAACATTAACACCTTCAGGATAATTGCTTACCATAACAGTGGTAGGTCTCGCGCGTCTGGTCGGTTTCGAAGAACGTGATCGTGACTGTTGTTTTCATTCAGTGACTGTGCGCGTTGATATGCCAACGTTTAAAACAGACTGCAACATTAAGCTTTTGTTATAAAAGCAAAGAAGCTGCTGAGTAGAAACTAAACCGCCCCAGACTTATTCCGTTTCATTCGTGTACTTTCATTTTGATGGGGTCTGTATGATGAATTTACTTCTGCCTTCTAATCAGGCACGTAAACAACATAGAGATAAAACATTTCATTTTGCTTTTGTGGAGTAAATTCATCTTAAAAAAGTTAAACTAGTGGGCCAGTTTCTCCGCGTACTTGTAAAAATAGGCATTTTATATGTCGCGCTACAGTGCGAAAATCTTCTTGTTGTGGATTAGATTTCAGTATACATATTCTTCATTTCGCGCCAGAATAAATTAGTTTGCGCGCAAAGGGCTTCTAAAAAAAGATCACAAGGTTTGTCCCACGTCGAGTCCACCTTCTGGAGATACGCCGGCATGGTAGCTGGAATACATTGGAATAGATCTGGCATTTTTCCTCCTCGTCTTTTTTTTCTCCGCGACGTTAGTTTATATTTGTAGTGAGAATGCCGCGCATATCGGTGGATTTTACTTCAGTCAAGCGACTTCAGTTCCTGCGGCTTGCTACTCATCATAAAGAAGAGTGCCGGAATCGCTTTGTTCGCCTTTAACAGATTTGTTGTCGAATGCAAGGTAAAAGAACGGACTACTGTAAGGTAAGAATTGAAGTTTAAATTTGTTTGTCGGCGAAAAATAGTGCATACAACTCGTGAAACCCGTGAGTATTACCTCCGTTTAATATACCGGATGTCATGCGATGACCCCTCGCTTTTACGATGGATAGGACGGATACGAACAATAATTTCTTTCGCAACGTTTAGTATCATTTACTTAATATGGAGATCATCTGAGGACGATTTTTCGTTATATATGCTTCATTTCTTCGCTTATTCCGGCTACGTGCGAAAACTTAGATGACAATGTTTGTGTGCTATAATTATACTGATAATTTCTTGCACCTTGAAACTCATGAAAGCCAAACTTGTTTAACCCTAGCAAAAAACTCTTTTAATGGAGAAACTCAACCTGATAGTTGCACTAAAATCTAATAATTGTTCCCGCATTTGCATGCTCTCTGTAACCTCGTGGGTAGAACATACCTGATGGTTACATTAATAATAATCACTGCATTTGCTCTCTGTAACCTCGTGGGTAGAACATACCTGAAGGTTACGTTAATGATAATCATTGCATTTTCTCTTTGTAACCTCGTGGGTAGAACATACCTGATGGTTACATTTAAAATAATAATCACTGCTTTTGCTCTCTGTAACCTCGTGGGTATAACATACCTGAAGGTTACGTTAATAATAATCATTGCACTTTCTCTTTGTAACCTCGTGGGTAGAACATACCCGATGGTTACATTAATAATATCACTGCATTTGCTCTCCGTAACCTCGTGGGTAGAATATACCTGACGGTTACATTTAATAATAATCACTGCATTTGCTTAGTGTAACCTCGTCGGTAGAACATACCTGAAGGTTACGTTAATAATAATCATTGCATTTTCTCTTTGTAACCTCGTGGGTAGAATATACCTGACGGTTACATTTAATAATAATCACTGCGTTTGCTCTCTGTAACCTCGTGGGTAGAACGTACCTGAAGGTTACGTTAATAATAATCATTGCATTTCCCTTTGTAACCTCGTGGGTAGAATATACCTGACGGTTACATTTAATAATAATCACTGCATTTGCTCTCTGTAACCTCGTGGGTAGAACATACCTGAAGGTTACGTTAATAATAATCATTAAATTTTCTCTTTGTAACCTCGCGGGTAGAACATACCTGATGGTTACATTAAAAATAATCACTGCATTTGCTGTCCGTAACCTCGTGGGTAGAGTATACCTGATGGTTACATTAATAATAATCATTGCATTTTCTCTTTGTAACCTCGTGGGAAAAAAAATTAATGCCGCTCTCCTGGAAATTTTGCCCTGTCCTTTGAGCATAGTGATCTTTGGGTAGCGAATTCACGAAAACAGGTAAAACGCTTTTTTTAACAACAGCATTTATATTATTTGGCTTTTTGATGGAGGTTAAACATTAATGCAATAGAATATAAAAAAAGCTGATAAAGCGGAAAAAGTTATCTTTACAAAATGCGCTTTGACAATGTCAAGGAGTGAAATAAGCTGAAGTTTTGTAGTTAGCCCGAAGAAAACCTGTTCCTGCATGAAAAGCAGTTCTGATTCCCTTCTCTTAACTAGAAGAGATGCATATCCCTGTGAACCAGTTTTTTAACCGGGAGCGATTCCCACTCACTTAAGATACTTTATTGACACGAGTTCCTCTTTCATTAGTGAAAAGGTCCAAGTGATATTTTGATTGACGTGTTGTTTTGGATCCTGAGGTTTTTTAACACCTTTTCTCTAGCTTAACTGGCGAAGATATTCTAGGAATTTGCCCTTCAATTCCAAATTCTCTGATGTGCCGCCAGATGCCGTGCAAAAATATCACCTCTTGAGGCTCCTCGTGTAACCAAGCCTATGCCACAATTCCATCCTTAAAACATCTGTCAATCGTAGTTAAGAATAGAAACAAGAGGAAACCTTCATAGCAAAGGCGTCCCAAAACAGTCGCAAAAGTGTGCTAAATATGGCTCTGGTAAGGTCAATTTTTGGGACGCAATTTTCTCAAAGACAAGGACAAATAATACAAAACAGCAACAAGAAGTGTTCAAGTGTGGCTTTGAAGGATCGCCATCGCCGTAAGACAACAAACGAAGGGAAAAACAAACACCAAAAATAAATGCATCAGTCAATT